TATATATATATATATATATATAGAGTGACGTCATAGGATTGTGCAACCCCATAACGCCACCGTCTAGTAGATGTGAGCACCCACAAGCAGCGAGGATAGCATACGCGGCGAAGCAGGGGCTCTTAAACGCGCAACCGTTGATCGTACTAGAGCGCTCGATGTAGCGAGCAACGTTTTTCTCGTGTAGGGTTGAAAGAGGGGAAGCAACCTCACTCCTGAAAATCCCCCCAGGCGTCGGGCCATAAATACATTAACACGCTTCGGGGGAGCTCTCTGATATTCCAGATATCCCATAAATTATGGAATCGGCAGTAAGACTAATATTGCCTAGATTCGCGCCGAAGGTCTCTGAATTATTCCAGTACAGTAATATTGCTCTTTATTACTGCACAAGCCAAAAGTGTAGTAGTTAGGCCGCGCACGCAAACAAAAGGGGCGCAGCAAATTCGATAACCTCGAAGCGCGAATTAATTTATACGAGGCGTGTGAAGATAGAAGAGGAAGGCATGTCCAAGAAGGCTCAAGCGCTACGTGCGAAAGGTATGGTCTTGGATGGAAGGCAGGGCGTGTAGGTGCGAAGGACTGGGTTCAGCGTGGGACTTCGAACGGTCGACGCAGCAAGTGGAGATTTCGGCGAAACGTTGGAGTGCCCACAACCTTGAATCGGCGAGGTCATCTGGCAGCGAGCATCGCAGCGTCGGTGAGACACATGCATTTGTACCACAGCAGTTTCGTTAGAAAAAAGAGATCGCAGTAACGCGAGTAATTTTGAGGGAAGTCAGAATTTGTGTATTGTAAGGTTTCTATTTGTGTTCTGTTTATTCTCAGTAAAAGTGTGATTATTTTTTTGTCGTGTAATTGTGCCACTAAAATTTTATGGGTAAATTATACGCTCGTTTGTTCACAATCTTGGCAATTTTATTGTGTCGAGGGTTCAGACCTTTCTTGTACCCGAAAGATCCTGCTTCCTGAGAATTTTAAGCTCGCTTCACGATCAAATCTTGATAACACGCTTACTGCACATCTACGATGCTGCTGAAGGTGGGGCGTGGGGTAGGCGGGTTAGAATATATATAATTCGTTATAACAGTTCTAATAATCAAGCTGCCACAAAAAGCGTGAGGTCATTAGAACCAGTTAACAACCATGGTATTTTCTATTTTTACCGTGGTATATTTTGTTTTAAACTAATTTTAATGAGTCACATTTACTATTGTACTAGATGACAACTAATTTGGTTTATAATGTATTTATTTTCATCTGTTTTTTCACATTTCTTCCCATAATACCTCCGGAAGTGAACATGAAGCGTCATTCACCTGTTTTGATATTTCCAAAATCCTCCCGATTAAGGTATGTTAGGCATAGAGATATATATCGAGCATCGAAGACAATAACATGCAATAACGTTTCAGTAAAAAAAATGTATTGTTACACGCATGTCAACGGTCAACAAGCAATACCTCGCATCTCCCAGTGATATTTCAAGACTCCAATAATAGTTTATTCTTCCTCATAATTTAAATATATACCAATATTATTTTGGATTAACGTTTTTCAATGCGAAAAGACAATTTTAACTATAGGTGTTAAAATTAGTGCTTAGTGTTCTAAATTAGCAATAGAAAATATAGTTAATTCAGTAGTAAGTAAAACTGAAGAGCCAATGGTTTTCTGTTTCTCATAAGTGTGTGTTCTCATACGTGTTTGACTTAAAAAAATCGTTGCCTACGTGTGTGAAGTTTTTTCCGGTAGGCAACCTTTATATTACCCACCGTAGAAATTGTAACGTTAACGTTAAATGACGATACGTTGAACAAATCATCGCCTCCTAGAAATCCCACAAAACATTCTATTTATTTCGCAATTACTATAATTGTAATCCTACGTGACGTTTTAGTAAAGATATTGATTTAATGAAATTAAAACTGCCATATTCATAATTTTATTTCTTTCAATAATTATCTTAATGTATTTTAAAGTGAATTGTTAGTTAATTAAATATCACTTTTTATGTTGGACATTCATTATAAGAGTAAGAAAGCCACGAACAATTGGATATTACCTTGAATCCTTCAACAGCTCCAGAGCAAAGAAAATCTAAATTGTGTGTCTCTACGAACACGTAGAAATGGAGTCCTCTTTTAACACCCGCTCCAAAGGCTTTGAAAGGATACGTCGAAGAGTGATCTAAATTGAAATCCAAATCCGGGTCCCACAGAGTTTCGTTGGAATAATCATAATCAAGATAGCTCCTGGATGAATGAAACCTTCAACAGAAAAATATATATTTAATAGTGAGGAAAAGATCACCGAAATTAATAATTAATAACATCAGCGTTGAGAAGTATTTAATGCGTTCCAGACAAAACATATCGTTGTATATGGTTTGCGGCCGCCGTGTATGCAAAAACACACATTGTGCTCTACGTCGCATTGCCTCCAGATTTTGATGTAAGGGAGGATGCACACGCTTGTGGCTGCTCGTGTCCGTCGCTATTGACGCACACGCGTGTGGCCTATCCGTCTCACGCGGTGGGCGATAGCAAGCTGTCGCCCCCGCATGCGCCTCTGCCCGCCCATAACTAAAGGTACAGAGGAGTTACGCGAAGAAGGAACCACTTTAAGAGGTCGGGAAACAAATGAGGGCGACGACATTGCAAGAGAAAGTGATAAAGCCATTTACAAACGAGGTAACTGTGAACAAACTCACTGATAAAATGATTGAATGAACGTAACTTGCAGTTATATCGCCGGCAGTGACCATGCAGTAGCAGTCAAAGCAGATCCTTCTTATATAACTGCATTCTGCGCTTACAGGAAAAGCATTACTTCTTGGAATGTGATTAGCTTCTTACGAGTGCATATGCTCTGCACGGATGTAGATGGCTTACTCCTCCACGAAATTTGGTCCTGATTACTTTATCCTCAATCTCGGATAGCTTTAATACATAAAAGGCTTTTGTCCGAAATATAAAGTGTTTCATCTTTATGTTTTTTCATTGTGAAGAGTTGGAAGACAATGAATACGTGGATATTAAAAAAATTACTCTTTAGTGTTACCTAGCCCCACTATTCTTGAAAAATTTTCATTTTTTAAAATTAATATTTTAAATCGAACAAATGATATAAAACAGTTCTTAATATCGCCATGTACTTACGTGTCATTCGCAAAAAGCATGTTCCCAGGAAGCATATTAAATGAGAAGCACATCCCAACATCGGTAAGAACGGGTTTAAAGTCCGTTGGTGGTGCCGTGTCATCCAAAAAATATACAACGGCTATGGTTTCATAAGGATCCAAGGAGAACTACAATAAATAGAATCAAAACATCAGTAAAATATTTTTAAAATAAGGTAAACACTCAATTCACTTTCTTATCACTTCTCTGCTAAGTGGGAAGCTAGCTCTAATAACTAGTTGGAAGACGCCGCGCCCTTGGCGCAGGTACCAACCATTCTGCGCCCTTCCTCACTCTCGCATGTCGCCCTGCGGCATCTGTGTGTAAGGAGCGGCGTCTCCCGAGAAGCCAAGTAGTTATTGCCCCGGCGAGGAAGCCTTCGCTCTCAGCTTCCTCCAACGTCAAGTACAACAAAAGGAGACTACGTAACTAACATACAATGTAAGCTTTCACGACCGGTTTCTACATAATTAGTTGTTTCCGGGTTTGTAGGCCGTGGTCCAACGGTTGCAGGCGAACCGTTTGGACCAGTGTCCGTTGGACTACGGCCTCCAAACCCGGAAACAACTAATTATGTACACTACGTAACTACTCAAGAGAAAGCAAATGTTATTTATTTACAATGTTTACTCTTTTACTCTTGGTGAAATATGTTGCTCCCGCCCGTCTTCCACTATTAGGTTTCCTCAAATACAGTAAATTTTGCCTAATAATATGTTAGATTCATTAAAACGTCTGGGTTTGAGTCCCGACTGTGGCAGGATTTTCGACTCAACTAGACTGCTAAGTCGAATTCAGCGTAAGTGTAAGTAAGTGGTTTCTCCCATCAACACTAGGCGAATGCCGGAGCAGTACCCTTGCAAATGGGCCACGGACCGCGCATGATCTCTCCCTCCTCTTCTTTGTCCTTTCCTTACCACTTACTTACACACAAACATACACTTACATGCACTACACTACCACATTTGTCCGGAGACCAGTCGGGATCTTAGACTTTGTCCTGCTGGTGGGAGATATGTGGTTGGGGAAAAGACCCACAAGACTAGTAACGACGTTTTCTAAAGTCACCGAAGGCTGGATCTCGCCATCCAGAGGGGGAAAATCACCGCCAACCCCCCGAGATAAAACATGAACAACACTTACGGGACTAACTGCCTCATCAGTTGACGCATACAGAATCACTAATCAATTAATCAATCATTAAAACCATTGTAATTTTGAAGAAAGTAAAAGTTATTTTTTTTAGAATTTGTCTCATACTTTCAATACTGAAAATCTGAATCCTTTTGTAATACTCAATGTTGTATCTTTAAATCTTTCCAAATAATATTTTGATAATATTAGTAAATTTTGTTTACTTTTGACTTTTATGGTGACAAAGTTCAAATGTTTTACGAATCTGTCCCACGGCAATAAATACTGACACTACAAATTTATATCATAATCATTTTCTCAATGTTAAGGTGTTTAATAATTTCATGTAGTATTCTTTCAAAATATTGGTAGTTGGGGGATAATTTTGAGTAATATTTGCGAGCTTCCCCTGAGGGCAGGAATTGGAATACAATACTGTGTGCTAGGAAAGTCACTCCGCCCCGAGCTGGATAAGGGGCTTCTATTAAAAGTTGCATGTATGTTCAAATCAATCAAATCACAGGGAACGCAATTTATGTTTTCATTTGTTACAATCTGCAGTTCATGCTACCAACATCATTGTTATTACTAGCACCAGCTACTGTTGCCACTGAAGAGAGACTTTACTGACGCACTATATTGCTAAATCTTTACGAGAAATTATGTGAGGTTATAAAAGCATTTAAATCGTTAAATTATGCACTAAAATATTTATTTGACTATATTTAGGAACATATTTAAATAAAGAATATACCCAAATAGGGCAAAAGAGTTCAGTAAAAGTTATTGTATCAATATGCTCGTTTCGTGACGCAAGGCTTGTGAATTAACATAGAATAATATAAATTAATACAGATATAAATACATGACTGGGATTTCAGCACTTACCTTCTCTATTCGATAAATTGTATTGATATTTGGATTCTCAGATTTAAATCCTTGCTCACATTGATATGAAAGATCGTTCAATATTTCTTTTCTGGAACAAAAGTTAAATCCCGTGAATAAGTGCACATGGTCTAGGAACACAAAATTAATTTTACAACTCATTAACAACTGAATATTCTAGAATTGTATAAACTACACAAGCATGACTAATACCTTGAGAGATAATTTAGCACAACTGTCTATTCTTACCATTCCGTATGGATGATTCATTCATATCCAAGAAGATCGTAAAAGATTCTTCATAATAAACCTATCAAACGAGTTACGTAATGGGAATAGTTCTTATTTTACAAGGTAACTGTTCTGACAGAAAATCTAGTTTTACACGTCATATTGTGAATTTTATATCCTGTATTACTCGCTTTGAGCCTTTGGTTCAATTCCCGATAACGCATGTTGAACTTTTGATGAATGACGCGAGCTCTTGCGCATTTTCTGATTATTCTCCCATTTCTCCTGCCTATCATTCCATCATTCCTCCATCATCATTGTTGCTAGCCTTTCACTCATTTGACCATCATTTCGTCCTCAATTGCCCCCTAATCGAAGAGCACAATTAAACCTCAATAAATAAATAAATAATAAAATAACAGGACGTATAAATTATTTTGGTTTTGTGAATGGCGGCGCACCCACACCATAGAGGAGAGATACAACTAGAGTGCGTGTAAACCTATTGCGCAGGTTTCAACATGCGGTGGCCGCAAGTCACGTGACTTTGGGACACCGATAGTTTGTTTTGCCTTGTATTGTGTGTACCTTCGTGTGCTGTTTGTTATTTCTGGAGTTACAGCGTAATTATTTGGGGGCGTTTTGGAGATTTGTTTACTGCAAACGATCCACATTTGTTTGAGCTTTGTTAAGAACCATGGTTCAGCATTGTTGTTGTTTTGGCTGCAACGTGCATTGAACTGCGTCCTCAACTGTGCATTGAGGTGCCAATTGACCATATATACTGGCCATCAGTACACAATCTTGAAACTAGACTGTGGTTGTGGACATTGTAACGTATATTGGAAGATTTGTAGAAAAAAGTTGGAAATGTCACTCTCTTGTGTTGACTGTAAGATTTGCCGGACTGATTGTGATGGACCATATTCTTTCATTCAGAGAAAGGCTGATCATGGACTGAAATACCCTTCTGCAGATGTGAAAATCTGCAAAAGAGCAGAAGTAGAAGTAAGAATGCTTCAAGGGAGAGGTGACATTTTTAAAAGGGCAGCTTACACTACAATTGTTAATAGATGTTTGAAAGAATTTGTAAATTTTTGTAATTGAATTTATCATATTATTGGTCAAGAGGCCATGCTAAATCATAGGATGTATTTGATTAAGGCAATATTATTTAAATATATTGAAATTAGGTTAAAACATATAGGAAGAGAAGTACTCAACTTTACCATAAAAATAGAATTAGATCAGTTAATAATAAAATTATTTTATTTAGAGGGCATTAATGCGTGTGTATTTATTGGTTTTAGTAGTACAAGATATTCACGAGAGGTTTTCGTATATATTATGTATTTACTGGTGTAAGTTATGTTTGTAGTGTTAGTAGTATGTTAGTGTTTATAGTTTGTATGGTTGTAAGTATTTGATTTCTATTAGTACATTTTTTGAAAATTATGTATTTCAGCTTCCGGTTCAAAGACCCCCATTTCGATCAGGTTTTTGTCCAGTTTCCCTGATCCATTGAGCAAATGCTGATATGGACCCTTGTTTTGCTTCTGGACGTAAATGTAGCTTCACTATGCGCACGTACTGTTGAGCACTCCTTTTTTGCTTGTATTGGTAGGAGTAAAACCAATGTTATGTTACTGTTTTGTTAGTAATATCAAAAAAATAAAATAAAAACTGCAGTTTGTTTATCGATGCAAATACGTTTTGTATAACTTGGGAGATAAATTGTCTAATGTCTATAGTTGAAATGTTGGGAAGAGAGTTTTGAGATCAAGAAAATGTGTGCAGATGGTACTTCTCCACCGTATGTCACATACAGTATTTACTGTTTTTGACTAAATAAATCAAAATATATATCAAAATAAAAGTTTGCTTTTCCCCCTCTACAAATCCTTGAAATATTTTGGTAACTGGCTGTTATATGTCTGATGTGGATTATCAATAGCAGAATGTCTAGCATTGAGTAGTAACAGAAACGTGGATTAATGACTCCCATGGAGTTAATTTATTTTTTAATTTTTTTTATTTATTGTCTTATGTAATAGTACTTGTAAAACAGGTGTAGTGGGGTACGCGGTTGAGAGTGACAAGTTGAACAAAAATCGGAATCTTCATGTACTTAATTAAATAGAGCAGAATAACTTAAAGTAACTTTTCTGGTACAAGCAGCATTCTTAAGGTTGTGCAATAAATAAGAAACTAATGCTAGAGTGAAGCAGGTTAGATTCTTATTAAATGAAATCGTTTAGTATGAGACGGATGTATAGCAGATGCCTGCTAGCTGTCCCAAAGTCACGTGACTCGGGCGCGAGAGATGTTGATACCCGGCTGGGCCTTGGTTGTGTGCCCTGGTGCTCGCTCTAGTATATTTCTACTCTATGACCCCCACACGCTGGTCAGTACGTCGGTCACCATGGCCACTGACTATGCAGCACGGCACGGAGTAATTTGACCTTTTCCAGGGTTAGATTATTACATAACATTTTCATATATAACCCACCCAATCCTTTGAACAGTTTTCATGAGTGGATGGTTTCATGAAAACTGTGCAAAGAGTTCATTGTCTCGGTAGCTTAGTGGTTATAGCAACTGGGAATAAACCAGAAGGTCCGTGTTCGAATCCCGGTGGGGGGCAAGCAATTCTTTGAACAAATTTAATTAGTAAAATGTATTGTTACTCAGTAACATGGTCATAATTTGGATTTCTTTACGACTGCGGAATATATTCTTCGCGTAATTGCCTCCAACAAGGTGATGGGAATGGTGCCAATTTAAAAAAAATCATTTTTAGAAAAAAAATATTTCTCGGCATTTTGTACCATTTCAAAAAAGTGAAAAATTCAACACAATTGAAAACTACATTTTCTACTCCTGTTCACTTTTTAATCATCCAACGGATTCAAAAATTATTTTAAAAATATGTCTCAATAATTTCTTTAAATAAAAATGTTCAATAAGTTGTCACATATTACGAAGAAAAGCTGCTTTCAAATAGACAATTTTTATTTCAAAATATTCTTAACATAAAGTCACTAAAAGAATTAAAATGCAGTGAGTGAGGTTGCAAAGTTGAAAGTAAAAAAGAGAGGGAAAAATTAATTTGGGGTCCGAATCAGTATTTAAAACATTTCACTAGAAGTAAGATTTTGTCATCTTACCTGGCATCTCTTGTCTTAACATTTGTTTTAAATAAAATCCAATTTTTCTCATAATTGGTTCGTAATCTAAAAGAATCACTTCTATTAAGAATATTATGTTAAAAACTTACTCTTCTTCTGACAAATTTTCTTTTCTTTGATATCGGATGAACGTGTCAGTGTAGTTGAATAACGTAAGATTTATTTTTGACTCGGGGCAAATAGTAACCGCTGGAAAATGAAGGTCCCCTACGTGGCGGGCGTGTTTATCACGCCCCAAGATGACAGGTGATTCGTTGTAATTATTCATTGTCATCGAGAAGAAGTATAGAAATGCTCCAAAGGCCAAGCAGAAAATCAGAAACCAAAATAACCTGAAAATTATGGAAGAGCAAATGTATATTCTTATTGATAAATTAAGTTCGTAAATACGATTGTGCACGCAAATAAATATTCTAACATGTTTCTAAGCTTTGTACTATGCCTATTGTTGGGTAGAAATATAATTTCCTGGAATTCAAGTTTGTCTTTTCAGGCCATGGAAAATTGAAAACGAATCCTATAAATTAAGTAGTTAAAAGGTACGTTATGCAGTGTATCCCGAAGGCAATAAGAAGCAATAACGTGTCAGTAAAAAATAAAAAAAAAACAAATGAACACCGCAGACCACGACAGATTATCTCGGAGTAAATGTTACTACTATCTAGAGTATGTAAAGAATTGACAATGAACATGTGATGGGAGATTCCACCAAAGGAAGTTACACATGTGACATTTGCCACTGTTTGGCAACTTATCAGGTACTGCTCTTGGTCCGATCATGTTGTAATGCATACATTATTTTTATTAACTTACGGTATCGATATGAGATTTTGAATGGTATTGGAAAAACATTACAATATTTGATCATGCCCGGGACGTTTGTAACTTTTTTGTAATAATTAAGGAAACATTTAATAAATTAAGCATAGAAGAAATGCAGAAGTGCATTTAAAAGATAAATATGATAAATAAATAAAGATATTGTCTGGTATCAATATTTTAAATCAGCTTATGATCATTTCGATCGCGTAGCGATCATCCTCAGAGCTTGCAGCTTCTGGGCCGAAAACAAAGTTCTGCGAATTTTTGAGCGTGTGTATCTACCTCACCAACAATTTAATTAATGCATTTAAAATGCTAAGAAAGCGCCTGAAATCCTAACGTGTGTCTGCTCCTTTACCTCTGCGCGCCATGCTGCCCCCTGCGCATGTACGCCAGGCAGGGGATGCTGGCCTGGTCCAAGAAGTCCCCCAGGCAACTGCAGGGGACACAGGAAGTGCAGGGGGGCGGCGACGCCGGCCGCGCCCCCGCCCCATCCATCACTTTTCGGGCACATCGCGGCCGGCGCCACGGACCGCGCTTGCGGCCGCTGTGGGCGGACCCGCGCCCAACGCGCCACGACGCAGGGTTGAAGCCCCGATCGTCAATGGCGAAGGACGGAGGCCGGGTCCTGTGGGGAAAACGCAGATGGAGATCTGGACTGTCCGGGTGACGCTGCGGCGTCACCCGGACAGCCCAGATCATGACTCTGGCTGCGGAATCTTACGATATAATTTAACGCAGATGGTATGCTCCACAATGTTCTACGTTCAGTATAATCATTTGCGAGGTTTACTACCCCACATACCAGTACTGTGCGAGAGGGTTTCACATGTGTGGGTACGCTCTTACCCTTACCCCCTGCGAGTGAATAAGAACATCGTTGGGTAAGTATCCGAACACTGCGAAGGGTCATAGACCTTCCTCAATACCCGTGAGTATGGATTCAGCCACGATGAAGTCAGAGCCTATCTCGGGGCCTCCTAGGCTGTTACACCTGCGGAGGAGGACAACGGAGACAATGGAGTCTTCAAGACTTCTCCTCCCTGCAGTCTGCTTTAGCCCAACGATGTAAATTCTGCTAGAAATCTGGGCATTCGAGCGGGGGATTACAATTCCCAAACAAGGACTTCACTGCGTGGGACCGTAATACAAGGCCGTGGACAACCCCGCGCGCGAGTCGTCTCTGTTCAACCGTATGATCGATTTTGACACTAATTTCTGTCATGTTGGGAGGCGTGATCAGTGTAGAAATTAATGAAATAGCTTGTGAGGTGGATACCGTCTAATAATATGGCGTTATAACAAGTCAACATTTCTAAAATGAATGAGAAACATTTCTTTATTGCGGTAAATAAAAGATGTCCGGTATCAAAATATATTTGCGCGCGGAGATGGTGCAACGGTTAGCGTATCGGACTGTTGTACCCAAGTTGGCGTGTTCAAACCCGATCGAAGCCGTGGATTTGTAAGAGATTTGTAAGAAAAAGAATCCTTCGTTCGCCTGCCTTCGGAGGGGAAGTAAAGCCGGCAGTCCCATGTTAGTAGATTTACTTGAATGTAAAAGGTCCTCATGTCTAAATGACGCCTCTGAGCTAAATTCAAATCGCCCGTTTCTCAAAGAAATACCTCCTTTCTCTGCTAGTTGGTGAAAGGAGCGTAGCAAAATTTGCTTTGTCAGACCGAACAGCAGGTCTCATGGCCTGAGTCGCGCCACGTAACATAAGGCAATAATTCAATTCAAAATATATTATGCCAAAGATCGTTTTGATCGCGTAGTGATAATCCCCAAAGTTGGCAGCGTTTGGGCCAAAAATCGAAACGAAAAAAGGTTTTCGGCCCAGACGCTGCAATTCCTGAAGATGATCGCTACGCGATCGAAACGATCATTGGCATAATATATTTTGATACCGGACATCTTTTATTTGTCGCAGTGAAGAAATGTTTCTCATTCATTTTAAAAACGATGGCTTACTTGTGCTAAGGCGGTGATAATCTCCATTATTTGGGCCAGAAGTGAGAATGTTTCCATGAAACCAATGTACTTACGAATATGTAGCAGATATACAAGTAAAGTGCACTTCAAACGTTTAAAGAATATGACGTACACGGATAATTCATTGATTAAGAAGGATAATGTATTGATTACGAATATAGGACAGTGAAGTTCCTCTTCGCGACCACCCCTTCAACGCGATCACCCCTCATCCCGACCACTTTTTTCGGCACGGAAAGTTTTTCACGAAAACCCGATGCATTTAAATCCTCTTTATGCCGACCACCCCTCTTTCCAACCAACGACCATCAATGCGTATGCCTCTCTAATATCACCCGGGTCCTCCAGTGGTGTCCACCGCTCCCCTGGATATTATAATTCTACAATTAAAAAGATTCTTCGCGTTCCCCATATCATAGTGCAGCTTCCTCATCATCATCTCATCATCACGTATCTGTATCAATACGTGTACGGCTATGGTAGCCAATGGCCCCATTTCAGTGCTTGTTTTATTGCTTTAGGTGCACGGAGCCTGCTCTTACTCTTGCCGGGAGAGATGGTGGAGGGCATCAACTGAATTTACTGCAGTGCCCTTCTGACCGTGAGGTCCTGAGGTTCGAGTCCCGACGGTGGAAGGATTTCCGACACTAGCCAGATAGCTAGGTCGAGTGCTGTCGCTGTCTTGGAGGAGAATTCTAGCACTGCTCTGATCAGTAGTTTTCCGTGGTTTCTCCGATAAACACAGGCAAATGCAAGAGTAGCACTCTAAGAAACGTGTCATGGACCGCGCGCGCTCTTTCCTACCTCCTCCTTGTTCTATTCTCACCCATTACACACTCTTACACTAACATGTATTACACTAAAAAACCCATTCCGAGAGACCGGTTAGGGCTTGTTCCAGGAAAGCCAGGGTAGTACCCTACCAAACAGGCCACGGACGATTCCCATTCCTTGTCATTCCTTCCCATTCCTTGTCATATCCTACCCCGTACACACACTTACATATACATGCACTAAACTAGCATACATGTCGTGAACTTAGAGCTTATCTGGCTGGCAGGAGAACCTGGTGAGGGAAACCCCGCAAGCCGATGGTAGGTCGGCGCCGTATCTCGCCTTCTAGCGGGGCAAAATCGTCACCTCCTGATCAAAAACATGCACTACATTTACGGTACTGATGACCTTAGTCGTTTACACTCTTCCATTACAAGTGAGACTGCGCACCCGATACAACGAAAGATTAGGATATTGACAGGACACGGAAGAGTTGGAATGCCACCCATCTCGCAAACGTTTGAAAACATCATACCTTCCACGAGTTTCGAACCCACAGCCATTGGGTAAATGTACTTGTTCTTAAAAGATTCGTTTCAAATTCATAAGGCCTCGAGTAGGGACAAATCGGTGGGGGCGTTCTCAGTTTGGAGGGAATTCTCTTTATGGTTTAGGCGTTAGTGCTGTTTACGGACAGACGGCAGTCGCTTTGACGGAAATCAATAGTTTTGTGCCAAAGTCCCAAAAAATGTGGGTCCCGACTATTCCAGGTATTCAAAAAAGTAATGTACCACATACTATATAGCCAAGAAAAAACATTTTTTTGGTGCTGGGGATCATTAACAAAAAACGGTACATTTCTTTCAAAAAAAACAGTACATTTCCTTCCAACATGACTTATCTTTTTTTCTATTTTATGTCGCTTACAAGAAAGTAAAATGCTAGCAGCCGCAATCGAACGAAAAGAACACAATCGAGAACAGGGAAAACTTGCCAAGAAATGAGAATAGATTTTACCGAACTGTTTCATTCGCATCGATACGCATCAATAGAAGGGTTGCTTCAAATGTATACTTAATATATAATTGCTCTGTAATTTCTGGCCCCGTTTAATATTCCCACGCCACACAGGAAATGCGATTCGTAAAGTGGTCACGCCATGTGATCCCGAAAGCTAATTGATTCTATTACGGACAGAAATGCAATACCCGGAAAATGGCATTAAAACAATTACTGTTAACTACAAGCATATCTGGGACACGCATTAACTGTCATCTGGTATCATTTCAACCATCAAATTGTATGAAAAATCTGATTATTGAATTTTCCGCGCTTCCTTTACTCAGGAAATCAACTCTCAGTATCAAAAAAATCGTTAGTTTTCATCCTTATATATAATATCTGGGAGCTCATATGCGTATGGTACACGATCGCAGAAATGGCAAATATCTTTCCAACAGTCCACCGCCAAATTTAAATCACACTTCGTATTTCTATAGAGCTCCTGTAACATCTTCGCTACCGAGATTAGAAACAATCTGTTTTGCAGTTTTTGAAAATAGACTGCCGCAAACGGGACTAGCTCCAATTTTTTTCTTTTATACAGACAACGAGAATATTTTAAGAAAATATTTGGCGCCGTTCTTCATGAAAAAAAATTATAATTTACCTAAATTTACACTAAAGTACGCAAAAAGTTGTACACGGCCCTATTTCAAGATGACTTTGAAGAACCAATTTTATTAATAAAAATCTTCAAGATTGTAGTTGTAAAAAAACGAAAAAATTTTGAACGTTTCAAATTTTCGAAAAAAAACAGGAATTTCAACGATTCTCTACATAATTTTAAGCATTCGCTAATGCTACCCGAGGACCAAGTTTTAAAAAAATATTGTAACAGCTTTTGAGAATATTTTGAAAATATTAAGTACGTATGTAAAGCAACTTCCAAAATCATAATATCCGTTACAAACTCGAAGGGCCTTGAATACGTTTAGGTCGATGGTGGAGTATCAGTTGTGGAGAAAATCGTTTGAATTGTTAAGACGACAGCTTTGGCCATAAACAGACCGATCGGTGGATTTGTTGGCAATCGATTGTTCAGAATCAAATCCACAAAACATAGATTCTGAATTATGATCAGGGCTGACATTAAGAATTAACTCTTCAAAAGCTACGTAACAATGACATTTCAATGTCGCTGAGAGAGATAATTACTACGAAGTAGAATGAAAAGGCTACATAAGAACAAACGACCTTATGTAAGGGGTTACAATGGCTCCAACTCGAAATCTATTTAATGTATATGACATCAACTGAATGGACGAAAGAAGCTCTCATCAGGAGCTATTTTGGTCAAAAGGTTTAAAAACAAAAAAATTTAAAAAGGAAAATACATTTTTTAAAACAATGCTATTTCTTACTTATATCATGTTAATTGGTTAAAATACAATTTGGATGTTGAAAATTAATATATTATTTTTTAATAAAGTAAATGTTAGTAAAAACGTGAAAAAGCGGCCCAAAATACGCAAGATCGACGGTACACAACGTGTTAAATGAAGAAATATCTTACCAACAGAAACAATATTTTTTGTTCAAGATGTTATCGTTACTAGGAGCTGACGCTCGCTGAATCATAATCAATCAGTCAATCAAAGCAATAAGCCCCCGAAAATTTGCACTTTTGCAATTTTCGAAAAATCAGGGAAATCAACAAACATGAAAACTG